CCCCAAAACCCCAAAACCCCAAAACCCCAAAACCCCTAGTTTTCATACTAAAATTGGATTTAAACCTCACCTGAAAATGCTTTTGAGCTTTTAAACTATGAAATTAGTCAGAAAATCCAAGGCTGGGTTGGTTTTGCATGAGAGAACGTTATATAGCATTAATGGTGATCTTCTGATTAAAACTCAACAGCTAGGCTTCCTTCCTTAACCGAAGATGATACTGAATCTTGCTTGATTTCAAGGTTGCTTATGACTTTATTGGTGAATTCTTGTGTAGAGTAGTTTCCACCCAAATCTGGAGTCCTCACCTCTGGGTCTTCATACGTCTTGAAAATAGCTCTCTCTATCAAGTCTGAATAGCATGGAAGATTTGCTTGCCTAAGCATCATAGTTGAGGAAAGAATTATTCCAGTTGGATTTGCAGATTTTTCATCAATTTTTTCTTCTTCTGGTTTGTTTCCTCCTTGCTCAAAAATAGAATATTCGTCACCGATATGGACAGAAGGAACAAGTTGATGTCCTCCTACCATGCTCATCGCAATGCTAGCTGTGCCTAATCCACAGTTGCTAGGAGTAACAATAAGTTCGAAATCTTCAATATTCTTCATCAGCTTGACTGCTCCATCTGCGAGATAAGACTCTTCATATAGAATTTCATCATTTTCCGCCATCTTTCTCATCTCAATTAGAAACTCTTCATGATGTGGGTGGTCCATGTTGGCATTATGAAAGGCATGGATCTTACTCCTGTGGCTCATTATAGCATTGTTGCGAGCGTACTGAGCTATCTGCTTGAACTTCATCTTCTTACTTTGTTTATTCTCGATACTAAAACCATCTCAAGTTTGTTTAATGATCAAAATGTCAATATCTTTACCTCCAGTGTCAACACCAGGGATGGAGATTATGTTCAAAACAGAGGCGAAAATTCCCAGCTCCTTCAAAACCTGCTGGTGGCAGATCCCTTTATACTTTTCATCAAACATTTTGTTAGAGATTGGCCCGAGAAGAAGATTCTTATTCTCCCTTAAAGAGCCGTTAGCCATGCCTCTTTTTAATGAACTGTATTCAATCATCTTCACCTTCAGAGGAATGTTAAGGGAATCAAAAATGGTCAGCACAGAATCAGTGATCTGAGGTCCAATGCCTTCGCCTGGGCACACCGAGACGCTTTGAGTCCTTGTTACTCCTGGATTTAAAATGTGTGTGGCAGAGGTATAATTTCTCCTCGAATTCTTAATAAGATTTCTTGTTAATAAATTAGTATACATATGATCAAATTTATGACTATTTAACTTACTATTTTTGTCACATAAGTAGGGGTTTTGGGGTTTTGGGGTTTTGGGGTTTTGGGG